GCTGCTGCTGCCTCGCGCGCTTCATTTCACAATATGATTAAAATTAATAGCAAACACCAATGCAAACAATACTGCGCGTCGCTATTAATTAATTAACGCTACATCTAACGCACGGATCGAACGCGACTCGGAAAAATTACGGTCTTTCAATTTGCACGAGGAAGCGCGCTCTCGCGATCGAACAGGACAATGCCTTCAGGACAAGCAAAAAAATTAAATAGGCAATTCTACGCTCGAGCAAGAAATTTTGGAATTTCGGTCGTCTCTTTGTAAAAACCGCGCTCGTCGAAAAATTCGGATGCATCGAAGCTTGCAATTAATCAAACAGTAATGCCGCGTTTCACGAGAGACCGCGCGCTCGTGTGAATCATACGTGAACCGTTTTCGCAATCGTCGCGTTATTATTATACGTCGCGGGCGAAATCGCGCGCGATAAACGTTAACTTTATATACGCGGTTCTAAATTTTCGGCGGGGTGGAGGGGGGGACCCTCCTGCTGGGATTTACGCCCTCGCGGATAATGCGCCGAAAAGTTTCCTCATTACTCCCGGAAAACTACTGTACATCGAGAGATTTTGGTTAATTTAGAGGGTACGTACGCGTCCAGGTACGCGCGTCGAAATATGCAAACGATCAAATTTCTCCCGAACTTCATTATTAAGTTATTAACTACCTAAGTGCGCTTAGCATAAATTTCTATCTTACGCCGGAAGATATCCGGCGTGGCTCGGCGCGGGGCGGCCCGGCGGGACGGCATACCAGCTTTATTACGAGTGCACGAGCGCGAACGTGTACGTTTCTAGAAAATTGAAACCCGTGAATTTTTTAACGCCCACCGAGATATTCTTGCTCAGGCACGTCGGATCGGTTTTTCTTGCCTGATTATGCGGCGGCACACAAACGGCTATCTCCTCTTTCCCTCCCGCCCCGCCGCGCCTCTCCCGCCGTTCCGTATCTCTAAGGATAACGTCGAATTTCGTATTACGTAAAAGGTCGTTCGATTGTTATTATCAGTGATATGCTGCAGGATAAATTGCTTCATTATTATTATTACTGCATGTTATCGTATTACTTCATGGATAATTATATTGATATGTTGATGATTGTTATTGCGATATTGTTATTGATATTATTTTGTTTGCATTATAGGACTTGGAAATGTGATAGGGGAAGGGGGAGGGGGTGGAAGGAGGGGGGGGGGGGGGACTGGCCATATATCCAGTCCGATTTGCCCAGCTCCTTCAAAAAAATAATGAATTTTAATTAGGAAATCCACGAGGATCTCATCGCCGAATTAGCGCTTAACAAAATATTTTTTTAGGCCATTTCCATTAGTTTCCCTTCTGTTCACAATTCACTTTAGACAAATATTTATCTCGCCCGTGTTTCGCTACTAGGCTTTCACAGCGAATATCGCTTGTTCGGCAAGCCGTCAAATGGTACACGAGGTAATTAACCCATGAACGAATTACGGCGATAATTAATTGATATTTGTTCGGAATATTTGTGTGATTAGGAATATACTAAAGCATAACCGTGCCGGTTATGGATTTCAAACATGTCGTATCTGGTTAAACCGTATCATATTGCCCGAACTAATTTCCGACTGGTGAACTCTTTCAACAACGCGAGTTTATTTAATCGCGGTATGACGAAGCCTGCCCGAAATTTACAATAATTATCGTATTAATTAATTGGCATTATTATTTCGACCGAGTCGATTTTACAAATACGACACAGAAAATTCTACTTCGAGGCGCGAGAGTGGAAAGTAAACGGGACGCGTCAAATCACGACTTCGCTCGTTCATTCGAACGATACGAGAAACTTTAAATAAGTCGCACGTCCTACGAAATTTGTGATATCACGAGAGAGTCTCTTAGTTTAAAGTTTCCAAACTCTCTCTCTCTCTCTC